ATTTTAAGAAAATCGTTAAAACTTCTTTTCAAATATTGCTTCTTCCAATGAGAAAATTAAAACATTTTGTGCTTTGAAGTAATAGCAAGATATTGCAGAAATAATATATGGAACAAAGTGCACAATTATTGATATTTTAATAAAAAGTGAATTTCGCCATACATCGTCAAGTTGGTTTTCCACCAGCCAATACATTTGAAAGCTGGTCGCTCTCTAGTGGTGAATATTTACAGTCATAAGCAGTACTAAGCATGTCATTAGAAGTCAAATACAAAAATCCTCATGTCACTATTCACCATTCAATTGGTTTTGTGCATGACCGTCACATCCACAGACGAACTGAAACAAAACATACCTACAGGTTCGGTCTTCTATAACCCCACTATCGGCTCGTCTCTCTATGATCTCTCGATAGTCATAATATGAAAGTAAGCTATATTGCGGCCAACAAGTTTGATCAATTTTCAATAGTTGTAAAATGACAAACTACTATAATCTTCATACCAATCGAAACATACATCAAATCTGAATTCAATTGTGTGATAAGAAAGTATATTTGTTTAAACCTGACACTATTTCATTACACAGTTGATTGATTTGCACCCCAGTATATTCCACAAAGACGTACTCCTACGTAAAAATAAGTGTCATGAAGATGAACATATGAATAATTTCTCCATAGACAGCAACCTTCTATTTATTCCGGCAGTAACGTTACGCGAGATCTGGAAGTCAAATGGAACGCTAATAACACCTAGTGGAAGAATTCTGAACTGAACTATAGGTACAGTATCTATCTGAACAAGTAAGTCGAAAACAGAATCCTTCTATTTCGTCATCTTTGAGCTAGCAATTTCTCACCATGAGCTGTTGCCGCATTAGGAGTAGTAAAGTTACTTTTTAATCCATCAATTTAGATCCTACATTTGTTTTTAGATTTCAAATGATTAAGCCTTAGAGCTCTTCAAATTTGGATTTGGATAGTTTGAATTGAAAAATTTGATTTCCTACCTAACTACGATAAATTTGGGCCGCATTAGACATTTTTCTAAAGACGTCTTTAAAATTTCAATGTGAAAAAATCGATGTTGGTGCCATCTATGTGGATGACTTCCAAAATATCTATTTATGTCAATAGATGGTCCTTATTATAATAAGAAACATTTCTGAAGACACCAAGTCTCGGAAATGCTGCGTCTTGGAGTCATTAATGACGTCCAGCTAGATTTCATTCCTGGCCAACTGTGCAGTGGGTTTCGATTTAATCCCAGTAGAGGTCGTTTGAGTTTTCCCCTATCAAAAATAAACATCAAAACTTCTGCTAAAAGGCTTATCAGATCACTGAGTAACTGTGGTAAATGCAAAATATTAACAAGAATTATAGAAATTATGTAGCCAAATGAAAAACGGGAAATGTTTTTATGCCCATCTTTACATCATTAAGTTCAATAAAATTTCACAAACAGATGTGCCAATACTTAAGCTGAAATGCTCAAATAAAATGTGAAGGCACGATGAATAAATGAAATTGCACCAGTAAACTATTCTCCTTAAATCAAGAGAAATGAAGAAAAATTGTTTCCTAGAACAGTTATGAAATGTTCCCTAGAAAAAACTGAAATATTCCATAAAAACTATGCAATGTGTCAATAATGCAATTTTACATGAAGGTTGAACACGAAAAAAACCGGACACATTAAAAACACCGATAAGGCTTTTTTTTAATCAAATTTTTCAAAATTCAACTGTATCAAACTAAGAGTATATAGAATCACATACTCAAAAAATTTCACACGTCATCATTATGTGTATCACACTTAATTGTGCACTTATTGTGAAACACATCCATTTCATGTGTAAATCTTATGCTCTGAACCATGCCTCAACACTATTGATTCGGATTGTGACACACTTGGAGTCTAATTGCCTCACATGGCGATATCAATAGCATTATACATCATAGTTCAATGTTCTACAATATTATACTTTATCGACTTCTACTATACCGACTCCAAAAATGAGTCAACAAATATATAAACAAAGCTGCCAGAAAGCAGAGCGAACACATGCCTTTTTCTAATAGGTCTGATTTGGAAATTGATCCTGAACTGTTGGGGTGTGCTGCTGCCGTTGTCTTCGTTCGATCTTACTGGGCCACGGTTGTTCTCATATATGAGGCTGGTTTTTTCATGTTCAACCTTTGTTCATGCTACCTCCAATTTTTTTTTATTGAGCATTCCAACAAAAATATTGGCATATCTGTCTGTTTTTTAAAGGTCAATTTTTGATTCTTAGGGTGCATATTATTGTTTATATCAGTGCAAAATATGTGCTGCTGAAGAAAACTGTCAATTTTAATTCTAATTGCTTCCAATTTGACTACTATGCGTAGGCTAGCATAAAAAGTCATACAAATAAAACCATCAACTGATCTCTGGTTGGTGTTCACCGAATCAAAACACTACAATGCTTTGTAATTGTTTCTTAATAACAACTACGTTTCGAAACAAAGTTATTTTGTCCATACTGGAAAAACATCTGGATATCTGGAAAAACAATCCTTTGCCCGTACTCGAACTCGAAAACACTCACAAGCAAAGGTTTTTAATCCGAGAATACGATGTAAAACGCCCATGCTAGTTCCCTCAGGTAAACCTAAAGGAAACAAAATAGCTTTTTGCTAAACACAGCTTCCATGGACCAAGACAACAAACCGCATTGACAGTGCATCACTAAATGATAAATGTTTCTGGATTTAGTTCCTCCTTTTTTGCCTACTTTTTCCGCATGTATCAGATAGTGGAGATGGAAAAACAGAATGAAAACTTTTAATCGGGTTATCCCGACCCTTTCGTTTACGAAGCTGAGCAGCGAGCTCCAATCGAACAAAAGAAACAACAAACAAACAAATATAGCAGAAAAAAATCCGCTGGCGTTGAAAAGACGTATTGTGTTCGGTCGCTCCCAGCTATACAAAGAGCATCCATTGGTGAACCGTTCGTGTCATTAGGGATTTAGATGATTCATTTTAAGTTTTGTTTTTTCTTCTCTTTTCTTTAGTCCCGTGCAGTCAGTGGGGTGACACTTTCAGTATCTCCGATCGTGTCAGCCATGTCGTTTTTCATTTAATAGTTTTCACCGCAAAAGTGCCACTTCTTTCTCCGAGATCGAAAGATTGATGGCGGTCAAATGGGAGGATATCAACACCTCGTTGACGTTTGGTTTCAACTTCCCAGTCCGAGCAAATTTGAGATAATAGTTATTCATTCGTCGTTGACATTTTGAGGGTGTTTTGAATTAATTGAATGTAGATAGATGATGCATTGATCTTTGTTAGGTTTCAGTAAGTTCCAAACAGAAAAAAAGTAACAGCAATGTCTACGGCATTTCTAGACAAAATCTACAGAATTTATGTGCTTGTATTCGCTATTGTCAACTCGGATGGCACCTTCCTAAATTCCGACCCACCACTTATCACTTTAAAAAACTATGACATGTATGTGTACTGAATAGCACTTCAATCAAACTTAGCATCACTGAATACAGTCCCTTCGTCAAATTGATTCTTTCGAATGAGACTAATATTGTGACGCATTAACAGCAACACAAATTTTAGTTTTAAAGGTCTCCCTTTGTATATGATAGCCTATTTAGTTATGATAATAATAAAACAACTGCAATAATTTATTGGAACAACGCATACAAATCAATCAAAAAAATATTGATCCTTTTCATCCCAAAGTGGTACCGTAAAACGGGGTAACATTGATAGTTTTTTAATGTGTATTCTAAATATTGTTTACAGCACTGAATGTTTTTGAAATTTTATATTTTTAAAACAAGTACTGAGGATGCAAGAGTTAACTCGTTACTAATATGTTTAACGAAAATTAAAGCATTAACAATATTTTTTTTTTAGTTTTGTGACCGAATATCAGTATTTTGACTTGGGGTTACTTTGATAAAGCTTGATGAATGTAGAAAAAATGGGTGAAACTCAAACAATTTAGAACTTTAATATGAAACTTTGAATGAGTATATAATAAGAAAACCTCATAAGCAATAAGAATACAACATTGAATTTGTTATGGCTCTTCCAGAAATACATTTCATAAGAAACGGGCGAAAAACACGAATATTGTTTTTTTTATATGTTACACATACTATATAAAAACTATATACGATATCAATGGAAACACCCTTAGCTACATTATGGATCCAATGTTTCTAATTTGGAAAAAGCGCAGCGAGTAAATTTAACCTTTATATTATACTATCAAAGTTACCTGCATTATCAAAGATACCCCGTTTTACGGTATTTAGATATAATCAAAAGCATTTCATGAAACTATTAGTCACCAAAATCTTTTGACAAAACTTTCTGTTCGGTTTTATAGATTTTGATCAATTTGTTTCTTTTATAAAAAACCGTGCAAAACAAAAATCGAGTTTACTTTGACGGTCGAGCGTGTTGACACTTTAAAACCAATAGTAAAATGTGTAAAGGTAAACTTGCAATGTTTGAAAAATCATAGCAAGATTATGCTGCAGACGACTGGGTGGAAGTGCTAATAGAACACTAAGTTGAGATCGGGCAAAAAGTCCCAGTAGGGGCGTAATAAAAAGTCAAGGAGAAGACAAGCGGCGATCTGAAATTTATTAATATGTTGTGACGTGCGCGAAACAAAAATCTGACTGATTGATTTAGCGAAGTAGTCTACTGTGGTGCGGAATGTGCAATGAAATTATTACAATTCTTCTTTTGATTTAAGGTTAGGCATAGAAAGTGCAAAACTGTTTAAGGCCGTTTAAGCCAACCAACGTAACAGCTCCATTCAGCACTGTTAAACCACCGTTAGAAAGCTCTCTTACTATACTGTCACAGGCGACACCTCATTACACAGTAGCATCTGCAGAGCATGGTCTGTTTTTCTTTCTCTTAATGATCTGCACCCTGAGATCTTTAGTCGTTATTAGCTTCTTAAATTTCAACTTTGCTTTGCAGTAGCTCAGTCCAGTCCAGCGAAGCACTATTTATCCTTGTCTTGTGGTCATGCTGCTCTTTCCCGTTTGTACACACAAACTCACAATGTCAACGGGCGAAATAAAACTTTTAGTTATGAATGGATGTCAAGATAAGATTTCATTATTTTTAATTAAGCAAAATATAAATTTACGATTATAATCCTGGGTAGATAATTGTCCTGTCATGGGTCTCTTCATTTGTCAAGCTTTATGTGCCTTGCGATACTGACGCAAGTGGAAGCTCATTAAATAGCCTCTTTGCAAGAAAATTAAAACCATATTCGTTCAAGGATGGCTGATTGCTTCAAGTGGTTCAATTTATCGATGGTGTAGCATATACATATAAAGAGTGTTCAATAGAAATTATAAGTTATTTATACATGCAACAACTCCTGAAAGCATCCTTCGAGCAATGCGACCATGCTTGATGCTATATTAATGTAACTAAAAACCAACAACCACAGATTGTAGTCTTCAAGCATTCAAAATGATTAGTCAAATGTAAAGCCGGAAATGGACGCATTTATAATTTTAAACATAAATAAACCAATATGCCATATGTGTAACATAACATCTTCGGAGTAGCAAGCTAGTAATCGCTTTCGTCGATGTGAAAATATGTGTGAACCAGACATGCAGACAAAAAGGCCATCATCAAAAGAACCAGTATCTGGGAAGTAGGAATACAAGTTGCTCAGTAAATTCTGTAGCTCCTCTCTAGACCAACGTATGTATGTATGGTTGTATATTTGCAGCATAACCACATTTTGTACCTCCGTTTTCTTAGCAGGATCAGCTCACATCAAGGCGACCGAGCTTAGCTCCATGTACTGCTTCGTCCTAATAACCGCAAATGTACTTTTCCCCTTATCTGCTCACACTTGCTCATAATGTGCATCAGTTCAATCTTTGAGTATGGCAGATGTATGGAGGAAATGTTCAGAATATATCGAACATAGGATTACGATGTAGAAGTAGACAAATTTCTTCTGCCAACAGTGTACTTAGTTAAGGCCATGTTGGACTCTACAATATTTGTAGGGGCCATAAAACGGGGGGAGTTTGATCATTGAAGGGAAGAAGAGCACTCTGCCGTTCAATTCGCGTTACTTGTTTATTTATTTATTTGATAAGGCTCAAACGAATAAACTTTACAGAGCCGAGGATTCTTGGTCACTAAACAATACATCTTAAAACTATAGTCAAAAGGTACAACACAATAAACACTTTATCTTCCGCTATCCAAAATGTCTCCTCCGTCAGAACTGGAGCCGCTTCCCTAGGCGCCTAATACATAGGTGACACAGTAGGAAGAAGTATTAGTTTGTTTACTAAAATGAACTATGACCATTTTGTTATGGCAAGTTTTGCTATAAGAAATGCTCCTCATGTTTATTAGTGAAATTCACATCAAAGATTGATTAATTGCGTAGGAAATCAGTTAAGCACGGCATTTGTGACCAGTATGAAGCAGGTCGTATGAAGCAGGTCAAAAACTGTCCAAATACGCCCATACATGTTTTTTGTTTTGAATTTCTGTATGGCAAAATAGTGAACTTTTTGTGAACATTAACGGCAAAGAACTCACCAACACTGGGAGACCGTGAGTTCCTGCCCACCTGTCATAAAAAAACATCTCGGCCGCTCCCAGTGGTTTCATTGCATGGCAGTTAAGCCATCGGGGGGCAGAGCGCTTCCATTGCAGAAATGGACGCAAAACGTGGTCAGCACTCACACACTCATCACGAAACGGTTGCTTTCCAAAGTCGACGACGCATCGACCGAAAGAACTGCTGATGAAGAACAATGAGGAGGACCACACAATGGTTGCTGCCAAGAAAACAGACGATCGCGTTACACACATCTAGAGTGGCCTGCTTTTGTCGACAGCCGAGTGAACACTGAATTTTCGTTACTTGACATACATGTTTTGACATGATATTATGAGTAAAGATCTATATAATTTTATTAGGGCCTGTTCATAAACTTCGTAGACTGTTTAGGGGGGGGGGATGACAATTATCTACGGCCCATACAAATTTCAATCGTCTACGCATGGGGAGGGGGGGTCAAGAATCCCAAAAAACCTGTCTAAGTAGTTAGTAAACAGCCCCTTAGATAGTTTTATATCAGTTCATCTAATAAACGTAGCCTCCCGACCACTCTGTTTTTTTTTTTAATTTACTTTAACACAATTTAGGACATTTGTGACTTGTCCGAGGATGATATTTGAACTCGTGACCTTTAGTGCCAACCTCTATCACCATATGTCAATATGTCATTGGTCCACCCACTTAAGGTGAACGTGACCTAATGCGAAAATATGAAAATCCAAATTGGTTTTCTCTGAGACATCACTTCATGATTACGTCTTTTTTTGTTGGAGGAATTTATCATGTGTATTTTCTGCGAATCAAATTAATCGAAATTAGTTATAAGCACACCACCAAATTATTTACACTGTACTGGAATCGAACCTGAGACGACCGCATTGGCGAACCTTGATACTACCAACTTCGCTACGCCAACACTTTGAGCTGACGTAATCAAATTTGTATGCCCTTCTACAAGATCGCTGAGTAGAGGCTTTATAATAGTGCACATGAATCACTTTTCTCGGCTAGTTAATTCAGCTTTGTAAAGAAGCAGAGTAAAAGCTGTAAAACTGCACAAGTCTAAAAATAAACCTAGTTTTACAGTCAATAGCTTCCAAAGTAGCGCTAACACAGTTTATTACTTGAGTACAGGTTATATAGTTGTTGAAAAAGCAATTTTGATGTTTATGTTATTCAGCAAGAGGGGTTGCTTGTGTAGAAGCCATCAAATAAGTAATATATACGCTTTATTTGCTTTGTTTTGAAGCTAAATAAAAGTAGAAAGTTGATTAATATTTCCATAGAAGTAACATTAGTGTTTATTCGGTGATGTTATTCACTGCGACTGACAAATTGCATAATGGTAGTGAAAAAGTTGAGTAAACGCTCTCCAAAACTATTTTGCTAGCTTCTGCTTGTAGCTGTATCTGCAGCTTTGTTTCAGCTACTTTACAGCACAACGCTGGAAAAGTTGGCTTATAAAGCTGAAAATGTTAGTTGGGTATTCCCAACCTATCAGTAAGAAAGTTGGCGAAAATGGAGGAGTAAGTATCGGAGCAGTCCAAACCACCATCCGAAAGTTCAGTAAAGAAACTAACTTTGAGGACACTCTGAAATCTAGCCATAAAATGAGAACATCGAAGAGTAACGGCAAGAAACGGGCTGAAAACGTTCAAGAAGCAGAAGAAACCGAAACGGAGTCAGAAACAATAGATCCGTCAAACAGAGGGCTCGGAAGCTATTATTAATTGGCATGTGTTATCATGGACGATGAAACTTACGTCAAATTTGTCTACAAGACGCTTCCGGGATACAAATACTACACAGGCCTTGATGGTCAGGAAGTTAACGATAAGTCAATTTTTACCGAAAAATATGGTGGTTTGGCAAGCGATATGTGAGTGTGTCAAAGCCATTTGTGACAAAGGAGACGATGAACTCTGAAATTTAAGTGCGGGAGTGTTTTAAGCAGCGTCTGCGGCCGATTATGACCCATCAACATAATGGCCCAGTACTATTTTGGTCCGATTTGGTGTCAAGCTTGATATAAAGCAAACAATGTGCAAAACGTGCCAAAAGAGATGAATCCTGCGATTTTTTTCCCAATCCAAGAATTTGAAAAGGACTGGACAAAAGTGGCCAAAATTATCCCCAAGGAATCTGCTGAAGCTCATGGGCAGCGTCAGATCGAAATTTCGCTCCTTGGTATACGATTAAAGGAACTGCGGATTATTTTCATCCAATTGAAAGAGAATACCTAAGAGAACCTATATACGAAATGAAAATTTGAGTTCATTAACATAACGTTGCATTATTCCAATTATAAACTGTGCTTATACAATTTACAATTTTTAAGATATTTATCGGATTTTCTATATTATAGAATAATACTTAGTTTTTTTTTTAATCAAAGATAATATGCTGGCAAATATTAAATATTTAAGGACTTCAACATTTTTACGCAAAGTCGGAGCTGGGAAAAATCAAATCCAGATTATAGATAATTTTTCATTATTTCAGACTAGAAACTCCAACAAACAATTGAACTGATTAAGCGCTTAATTTGCCATGTTTTAGTAGAAGACGCCTATTTTTGCTTGAATAAGCTCTTATTCACTTCACAATTCTTGTTGGGGCTCTCTTCAAGATTCCAGGGCAAGGAATCAGTCTTGGGATGGTTTATTAATGTAATTCATAAGATTATGGACTAAGTTTTATTTTTTTAGATCTCAGCCTTAAGCACCAGGTGTTTTGTGTGTGTGTATGTGTGTATTCAATCTAACCCCCACTGGCCGGCAGTGGTATTATGGAAGAAACTTTGCTTAAAAAAAAATCCTTGATGTAATAATTTAAAGCAAGTTTAGTCCAGGAGTTAGAAAGTGATAGCTCTACTGCAGATTCACCAGCCCATTTCAGAATGCCGGGTAATTCACGTCCATTCCGAGGTTACTTTCACATACAATAAGCCCCGCATGTAAACACTACCGTTATCATATGAATAGTGGTACTGTAAACACACTTCCATATTTCAAAATGTGATGTTTCGAAATCTGGCGCGTATTTGGTAATATATGGAAATATACATTTATGACTGATTTATAATCAGATGGATCTCACCAAATTCTGCCTCCGAAAAAGCACCGGTTTGTTCCCTCGCGGTAAGTAAAAAACATCTTCCGCGTTGTTTTGACAACCGAACAGAACAAAGAAGAAGATTTTCATTTGCACCGAATTTTTGCCTGACACCTCATTCGCGTGCATCCTCCGGAAGGCAGAACGCCAGCACCAAGAAAAGAAAAGAAATACCCGATAAAACTCTTCTTGGGAGGGAGGCATAGCACCAACAACAAGCGAAAAGAAAAACCGACTAACGTGACACCATAGCAACACAACTACTCGATACAAATTCTTGTCCCAGAGTTTTCACGTTAATTACAATGTCACTAAAAAGCTTCTCAAAACGTTATAGATCTTAATTTACACTTATCCACACGCGAAAACTAATATTTTTTTTTGACTTGATATTATTATTAATATGCGGAAAACAGGTGAAATCAGCGCCAGCGAAAACAACACCAAGCGTTCGCGGGCAGAGCCTACTGCGTTTTTTCAGCCTTAAGCACCAGGTGTTCTGCTCAAAATTACAAAGGATTTTTTACTAGGGGAATTTACGTATTCTCGTCAATCTAAGCAGCGTCTGTACTTCTACTAGCATTTTCTCAGCGTCACGCACATATATGATGTGTCTGTTTGTTTACATTCATCTGCTGCTTGCTTCTCTATCCATTCCAACCGACAGAATTTTTCAAAACGTTTTGAAAGCGTTTTTACAACGCTCCAAACTTCTCAGGTGAGTGTGACTATTGTCGGCAGCCTCTTTTTCTTCGGCAACCTTCCCATTAGAACTGCGTGTTAACCAGCTGTTCTATTATCGGCAACTCGAAATCAACCCCATTTTGTAGTGCATATGCTTTATTTGAAGAAAAATGTAGCATTACTGGATTGCTCGATCGTTCAAATATAATCAGATTGAAGCTGAAAGGCTAAACAATCGTTTGGACACATTCAGGGAAGTGCGTTGATGGGAAAACATAGTGAAATTAACGTTTAAATTTTGGTTGCCGAAAACAGTCAATGGGTGCCGAAGCCAACATTTACCCTATTTGTTTTATCCTGTTGAAGGCAACATGGAGGCAAAGTTTGCTCAATGTTTTTATGATTCAAAATTTAAAAATAATTCATGCTATAATGGCCATTAAAGCGACAATTCTGATCAAATGCGCATTTCTTCACCTAACTCATACTTTGATGAATGAGGGGAGCTTCAACAAAATCAGATAAGAAACAGATTTTTACAGCCAAAACAAAAAAAAAGCGTCACCTCTAGGTGATAATGAGCCCTGGAGGGTTGAAGGTATTTTTACTGTAATTCTAAAAAGTTCAATACGAACCCAAACTTCAATAAAAACCGAGAAGGATTTTACCAATAGGCCAAATTATCCACAGCTCTCGCATCTGTTCAGCTCCTACTGCTATGTCTAATCCTTATCCCTTTGAGACGCCAGACACAGATATCCGTTTCTGAAAAACCACCAATGTAGAAGATAAAGCCATCTTTTATGTTTTTTCCTCCCATATCATTATCTACTATCTTATTTTCCCATCAGATGAAACAACCCGGTTTCGCAATGAATAATATTCCATTCTGTTTTTCTATCTCCTTCCCGACATCAATGCTGATTCCTCTTTTGTTGGCCGCTACGCTCAAACAAACCAACATAACACCACTATTCTTCCTCCCATACACACGCGTGGATCACGAGTAGGCTACTTTATTGCTCTACTATTCGCATCAATCAATGCGGAAGAAAAATGGTCCTGGTCCAAGAATGGCAATGAAAATGGCAACAACCACCTCAGCAGCAACCCCGACAGATTAAACGTTAGGAGCGATGTCATCGCGTTTCAGGAGCAAAAGCAGACCGATGACACCGGAAGGAGATACAACCAACAGCAAGACGTTCGGTAAGATTCACATTCAACAGTTCATCAGTTAAGTAAAAATTACGTAAGTTCTAATCTCTTGGGTAAAAGCTAAATAAAGTTAAATATTACCAGGATAATTAATCAATTTCCAGTTTCCTAAAAATTATACAGAACTTATAACTGCTTCGATATGCACGGTATTTTTCGTGAGAATCGTGAGTTAAGGTTATCCAATGTAACATTACTTCCCATTGCTTTGTGATTTAACATTAAAACATCATGCAATTTTGTAACATGAGGCCTTTTTTCCTAATTATCCAATAAACCAAGCAAATGGCCCTTCCTACCTTAAACGGGCCTCATTAGAACTTACTAATACTAGTTTGACTATATGTTTAGTATTACTTCTGCGTGAAGTCAACGATTTACATAGTTGAAGATGCTAATTTCGAATAACTGACTGAAGTGGTAATTTTTATACGATAGATGAGGAGGAGATGAAAGTATAGAATTGATAGTTCCGTTTAGATTCCGGCAGTGTGAAAATTGCATATATAGAAGAGTAGATAGCGAGCTAGGACAACTTTTAAGGAAGGTAAAAGTCGGTTTTATCATCTCTCTTTACCAAACTCCCCCTTTGGAGAGGGATAGTGAGGGGTGGGGGGGGGGGGTACACCCCTCACCACACTGCCGTAATCTAAACGGAACTATCAATTCTATACTTTCATCTCCTCCTCATCTATCGTATAAAAATTACCACTTCAGTCAGTTATTCGAAATTAGCATCTTCAACTTACTAATACTGTAAAATCCGTTGCTCAGCTTTATAAAGCCAAACAAGTTAAATATCGTGCCGTGATTACTTGGGTAGCTTGTCTAAAAGTCCTGAAAATGTTCTAAGAAATTGTCAAAAAACATCAGAGACACGCCAGGTCACAGTGATTTAAAAGTGAAAATTCATGAACTTAATTGATTTTTGATGAATGCGTACATTTTGGCATTTAAGTGTGTTCAGAAGATATACATAATTTTATATTTCGCATCTTTTGTAATAAGCACTTCATTTTTTCTTAAGGTGCAACTGTACTTCAGAAAACTAACTTTGTTATTCCAACTGATGTAGAGTAGGTTATTTCAATAAAGATGTAGACAATATATTTTCAACCAACTTTGCTCTTTAACGGTGCCGGTGGTGTAGTGGTAAGCGTGATTACCTCTCACCCCAGCAGGCTTGGGTTCAATCCCAGTCGGCGCCGCCGGGATGTTCTAAGGCATAACATCTCTAATCACGTCTTCCGTCGGAAGGGAAGTAAAACCGTTGGTCCCCGGTTCATGAGATGATGGGTCGATAGGTACACCCAACCGGTGGATGTAAGATTCGCTTACAATTATGTGGGATTCATCATCAGAGGATGTAAGTGGAGACCGCATGAACCGAGGATGCGATATACCTAGCTGCGGTCCAATGCAAGAAAATTGGAGACCGAAAAATGTAGAGTGTATTAGTGAGGTAAATTAATTATGTCGAAAAAAAAATAGGAAAAAGGTTGCCGACTGGACTCGAACAACGAACGTTGCGATTATCAGACCTATGCTTTCTCCACTGCTCTCTCCATGCTTCTGAATCAGGAAAGCCTAAAAGCAAACAAGAAGCGCTCATTTCCTCTCACACTCGACTTCGTATGCTTTTTCTGCTGGAGAGATTCAAGACAAGGATGTGCGTCGTTCTACCATGTTATACATAAAAATCAAGGCAAATGCTTGCTTGTGTAGGTGAAAGCACAGACAGAACACGAAATAAAAAAGGCAAAAAACCATTACATCGCCTGCAAGGTCAACTTCTAACATTCGCTGCGATGTTCATGAACAGAGGATGATAGGAAAGGGAACTAACATTCATTGTAATAGATTTTTGGTTTGCGTGTAGGATACAGGTGTAGGAGCTGCCTTCCTGGCGTCGGTAGCATTGGTGCTAAGCACGGAAAACAAGATCGACGGAAAACAAACCAAAGAAATTTTTTTTTTAATTTTGTTATACCTTCTCGGCATGTTTCGTAAATAATTAGACAATAAAAAACACATAAGAAGCCAATAGTGCTATATTTAATCTTAATTCCATGTATACTAAAACCCACCTCAGTTTCCAAGATACTAATCGATACTAATAATCTCAAGAATGAAAAAAAAACCCGTTTTCTATGCTTTGAAATTAAACTTGTTGTAAGTGCAGCCATTTGTAGCTATCTTAGCTATAATGTTTTGAAAAAGGGCTATTTATAAACTTGGTGTCTTGGGCAATGTTATTCGTTTAATTATTGCCTAAAACTTTGCAAGACATGCCGAATAACTGTTTTATAGGTGCCTCTATTATCTCGAAACACTGAATACTTGAAACTTACTCTCTATCTGTTGGAATAAAAGCACAGATGCACCTTCAGAAACGCTTAAAAATGTCGCGATATTTCACGAAGTTCACCAAGGAAAAAGTTCGCGAGTCATAGTGAGTTTTGGTGAACTTTTCCAACACTGCTTATGAACGACACATATGAATTTCATAATCCCAACTTATGAAAGATTTTCGTCTAACAAAATATAGGTATTTCACGTACCCAAGCGTTGACAGACGAGTGGTCCAGACACATGACCCTTAATTTCAACATCCATGGTTCGGATCCAGTCTGCTCCGGTTAATTTTTTTTTTGTCGACATTAGTTTACATAAGGCAAATCTATAAAATTCAAATCGATATCTTGTGGCTAAAATTCATAACTGGTTCTAATGGAATTCTTGCTTTATTTTGCCTCAGTGAAGTGCATCTAGAACACTTAGTTGAGAGCATGCAATATGCTAATATGCGATAAGCAATAAGCTTGAAATGCGAGGAATAAGAAGAAGACAAGGCAAATATTATGTACACTACCGATCATAAGTTTAAGGACACCCCCAAAAAAACATGCAAATATGTTTTGTTCAATGATCTCTCATTTTACGTTCAATTTTCGATCTCCAAAGGTTATTTGAATGGTATGAATGATAATACTACTTCTTTTATTTCAAAGTTTGGCCAACCAAATTCTGAGAAAATGAGTCACGATTCTTCAGAGTAAATTTTGAAAAATATTGTAACATTGGGTGAACTTTTAGCACATAAAAATTGAAAATTATATTGAACAATTTGCCTACGCGAAAGTTCAATTAAATATCTTTCAAATAATCGAAAGAGAACGAAAATTGGATGACAGAGATATGAACATAACAAATTTGTCATGTTTTTTTGGGGGTGTCCTTAAACTTATGATCGGGAGTGTATTTATAAATTTAACCCCATGTAAAAGCTATGCAACTGCACAGAAAAAGTTTTCACATAGATTCTATTTGGAACGCACATATTACTTTTTCAATATCGAAATTAATGATTTATTTAACATAATAAATTCTATGTGAGTGAACATATAGATTTCATTGGACACCTAAGGTTCATGTTCTTTTTTTTTTTTTTTTTTTTATTCTTTATTAAAGAGATTTTTAGCCTTAGGCTAGTTCATCTCTAATCCTAAGGTTCATGTGATTTAGTGGTTCAATTTCTATCTATGAGATCACATGAAAGCAAGGTTGCAAAGACTCATTTCAGCTAAAACAATGTTTTTCTAAATTATGAAATAATTAGATGCCATGATCAAATTTTGAATTGGTAGGATACAAGAAGAGGTTGCAAAGAATGTGTTTGACATATTAAACCTGTTTATTTCACTTCATGAGAGTCACAATCAGCGATTTTTCACAAACTCACTCACTCACTCACTCACTCACTCACTCACTCACTCACTCACTCACTCACTCACTCACTCACTCACTCACTCACTCACTCACTCACTCACTCACTCACTCACTCACTCACTCACTCAGCGATCAGCAAATCGCTGATTGTGACTCATAGAAAGCAAAATTTACAGGTTTTATGTTTCCAACGCATACTTTGTAACCTCTTCTTGTAAGTTACAAGTAAAACATGCCATCATACCATCTTTTGGTTTTATTATTCCGAAAAACATTATTTTAGCTGAAATGAGTCTTTGCAACCTTGCATGAAAGTAATATGAAATTCACATGGATATTTTCCACTGGTTCTTTGATTTGTTTAAGGAGTGTGTGCTAATCAAAATCCAAACATGTTCAGTAGGTAGGTTTACCTCACTGATAAATACACTGGTGGAAAATAATACCATACACTGCACAGTGGACCAGGAATAATATCGCTGGGATTGCATCCAATTCAGTTCATGTCTTCAACAAAGCTTCTTGACTTAGTTAGGACTATAATAAAAAAAAAAAAATGCCGTGTAGATATCTTTTTTTTTATTTTATTTTGCATCCTAGAGATTTGCCTTTTTTAGTAAAGTTTTACATTGTACAATTATATTAAAAGTTGATGAAGACATTAAAGATCTGCAAATTTCATCGACTGAGATATAGGAAGTTTGTAAAATGTATCTGAAATTACAAGTTCCAGTAAATTCATTTAAATTAATACTGTTATCATTTTTCATCGACCGTTACAGATCAGTCCAAATTTTTCATGTAGTATAAATATTTTTTAGAGTTCTAAAAATGGAATATTACTAAAAAAAAAAAAACTAGGTTACTGGACTGGACTGTACCATTATTTTTAGAAAATATCATTTTCAAAAATGTGGAAGAGAACACAAAATGCTATCAGTTATTCAAAATGTAGAATACATTGACTTCAATCCCTCAAAAAATCTCAGAGGATGGTAAGGTATGTTTGATATTTTCGCTTTTGAAACAAATAGTTCAGTATGAGTAATATTATGCTGGGCCAAAAGGTAAATTAACATTTTTTTTTACTTAAAATGCTCCCTTATACTCGAAAAGGATTATTATTCGAATATCTCAAGGAGACCGCAAGGAGACGAACCAGCTCAGGGCTGAAAGTCTCCTTAATTATGATATAAAAAAAAAACCAAATTTGATATAATTATAATTTTGATATTTATTTTTAAATCTATGATATTGGATAC